GCTGGTGCTCATAATGGCTAATTTTCGATTTGCTGAAACATTTGAATTGAATTAGCCGCTCTTTTATTTTTTTTTTTCGAATTCCGTGATTAAATTTCCCTTGCCGCATTCTTCAGTGCGTTAAGAAATATTAAGGATCGGTCTTAAAAACGCATTCAGATTATGAGTCGCGCAGCGATCGCGCTGTAGCCATAAAGATAATTAACTCAGTGGTTGAGTAACCAGTGAACTATTTATAAAAGGAGGCGTGGAATATAAAGGGCGTTTTCTTAAAACTAGAGGCTGTCAGAAGATGATTAAATAATAGGACTTTGTCACTAGTGCTGCTTACCGTTCGGTAAACTTTAAATGACTTCCTCTTCCGAAGGTTGCTTTAGAGGAAACCTCAGGCAAGCGCGACTCTTCGGCATGCGCCAAAATCAGTTTGCTATCGAAATGAACTGTAGTGAGTTCCCAAAGGATCAGTCTTCTCGACTGATCGACTCGAATTCTAGAATGTGATGCGCACTTATCCTTCAAAACAACCTATCAGTTGGGTGGAAAACAGTATGCTTTGTTAATATGAGATTCTTATTTTAAGATGATTCCATACTTTGTTCAGCCGTCCTTTTACTGCAGCGCAACAGCTTGACGTTGTTCATTTCAAATAACGTCGATTTTCCAAAGTATTGCTTAATTATAGCGAATGTCTTTAGTTACTGTAGCAAATATCTGTTTTGTCAGCAATTTGCATTTTTTTGTTTTGCAGACAAAAGTTTCGTACGATTTTGTAACCATCCATCGATGGCTGATGTCAAGGCGAAATCAATTTTTTTACATGTTTGCATTCCCGGCCAGGAAGACAACGCACCTGATTTTGTTGGCGAGTTAGTGCCAGTTCAAAATTACACTTAAAATAACTCAAAGTTGACATTCTTACAGTGCTTCTATTTTTGCATGCTGAAAAGATATTGTAAATTTGACATAACAGGTGTGCCAACTGACAGAATTATGCTCAGAAATGAATGCAGAGTAGCAACCGCAACGAGACTGCTAATCGTAGCTCTTCCCGAGATCCCTCCTTCTAAGAGAAGGCTATAATGGAGGGCGTTGTTACAGACGCGAAGTCCCTTTGTTCAGAGATTTAATTGTGTAACATCTCAGGAATTTCGCGCCATTGTGTTAATTCCTGTTCTACGCGTATTGTCGTTTCCGCAGGGATACATTCATGGTATGTTTGGATTGACGGAAAAACTGAAGTGCTGCTCTTGAGCATGCCTAGTTCTACACTTCTCGGACAGCAAAGTAACATCCTGGGGTCAACATTTTTTTTTTTAGATTAACATTTGTGAGTCAGCATTACAGGAATAAGAATACTGTAATAACTGATC